GCCCGACTGAAAACCGTAAAATCATCATTGCTCAGGGCTCAATACATGTATAGCATGCATACCAACATCCCCGAGAGCTCTGAAACGAAAGTTAAATTATTGTCTTGTCCCTAACTTTTTCAATTTTTGTGGGTCAATCATGGAAGAAGGAACAGTTTTACATTCACAGAAAACAAAATCACCCTAAAGTGATATTTCCGAAGTCTGCTTGCTGCCATTTTTCAAATGGCATCCCTCAACTTTTTGGGCACTCAGGAGCATTTTTAAAACCGTATTTTTGTATCCGTTCTGCTCTCAGAGTGAAGCCCAAAGAATCAGGGGGTTATTCCTGGCAAAGATTAACAACCACACTACTCCAGGGCCGAAATGATCTCCTTTTTCAAAAGAAACTACCCCCCCCCCATCAAAACGACATTGCTATCTGCCGGGTGCAGAAGCACCCCTCATCGATCAAAAAGCCGCCGCTTGGTCGGGATCGGGAGTGTTCAATTTGTTGGCAGCGCAGCGACCTTGGTATGAACCTCACGTAGGCTACATTTCCTCGTTTGTGAACCACAGAAGTTCAGTTTCGACCAAAGGAGCCTCCATAGCTAAGAAACAGCGCCCTCTCTCGGTCAAGCTCGAGGCCATACGTAATACCCTGTGCTGTATATTATAATAATGCAAGGCGTCAAAAGGGGGGGGGGACAACTGATACGAACTCGAAGCGTAAAGTCCAAACGCATCAACGCCTCGGGAGACTTTTGATCCTAGATGTTTTGTGTTGCGATCAGAGGCGATTTATGCAAATGACCATCAAGATTTGAAGCTTTGCAAGTTACATGAGCTGTAGGTTTGCGGGTACACCATGGAAACTATCTCATAAGTATCAACTCGACGTTTCTGCAACGATGTTCTGGCCGTCCCCATGAGAGTAATTTTTAAGTACATGCTTTTGCAAGTCTTATTTCATTTTCAAATGGTTTCTAATAAAATGTAGGCCCGCTCCCCCAGATGGTTTTATATGGGATCCCGAAAAAAGTGGAGGGTTCAAAATATGATGTCCCCTTCCCACCTTAAAAAGTGTTAGGACATGTGCCCCCCCCCCCGTCCCCACCGATTGATGCCCATGATAGTCTGCGCCATTGTAATCCAGCCCTGCCTGAAGAAAAATTGTAAAGATCCATATTGAGATCCGGAGGCATTCCAGTTGGACCAACAACTGAAAAGAAAAGGATCGATATTAAATTGAAGAACCATAAACCTGGCCACATTGCACTGCGCGTTGAGAGTTGTTGCACTGTGCATGCTGTTTCACTGCACGATGAGAGTTGTTCCACTGCACGACACGAGTAGTCTCACAGCGCGATAAGAGTTGCTTGGCTGATCTGATATAGGCTCCAATGATCACATGAGCTCACCAAGTCCATTTTAAAAATAACCTGAAAGTTGACCTCTCAAAGTAACCGCTTCTGGAATTCTTGGGTAGGGAAAAGGATTTACAAAAAAATTGTAACATTTTCATTTTCATTCGAATTTCAGAACTTTTAAACCACCTCTGAAAATGCCACTTTAAAATATTTTACTGGCATATTAATTTTTAAAAAAAAATTGAAAACTTATCTCAACTTAAGAGAAATATTTTGTCAGAATTGACTTCTCATTCCCGGAAATCTCAACTACATCACAGTCAGGTGACTCGATGTATTCCCACACACATTAAATGTAACGAAACTATTTTGTGTTCTCTAAGTAGAAACTGAAATTTAAAAATAGAACGAAAGGAAAATTTTAAGATCAAAAGTCCCTTTAAGATCATTTAAAGTTACTTTTTAGGTTCATATCACCGCCTGCCCCGAGTCATTAATTTATATTTTTTCTCTCTTAATGAAAAAAATCAAGACAAATACCTCCGTCGTGAAATCATTGAAAAGAAAATTGTCCCAGTGGTCATAATTTTAAATTTCCAGTGAAACAAGGAGGCCATAATCTTCCTGGGCGTCACCAGACGGCGCATTTTCTCTTGGATATGATTGCGCTGTTATTGTTATAAGAGGGCGCGTATTAGTGCAACCTTAACAACACTGCGCCGCTGAACAACACTCACTGCGCTGCCAAACAACTCTTACTGCGCAGTGCAACAACTCTCATCAAGCAGTGAAACTACTCGCATCAAGCAGTGGAATTCGGCCTGAATAGAACACTATGGATAGAATACTATTATAAACAGGCCCACTGCTCGAACAGACCATGGAGCTATGAGTAGACACTGAAAGAAGTTTCAGGTGATGTGTAGCAAGTGGCGGTAGTTCGGGGGCAGGGAGGCGCGGGCCACAAACCGAAGCCAATGCCTTCCTGCTGCCCCTAAGCGCCCCCCCCCCTAAATCTGTGCAATGTACAGAACCTATGATCAAGCTGTACTTCATTTGCTTTTTAGTGCCCCCTTGGAAAAGATAGTGAGCCCGCGCCGCCCCTCCCCCCCATGTTATTGTTTATCATACTAGAGCAAAACTGCTCTAGTATGATTGTACGCTGTACTACGTATGCCCATGGTGTTTTCCGAGATGAGCGTTAGAAGACTTTTGCTAGAGGAAGAATCTTTCTCAGGAAGCACGACAGACTTGATCTTAGAAGTAAGTGTTAGTTTCTGGCATGCAGTGGAAGGAATCTCCCCCCCACCACCACCACCACCACCATACACACCCACACACCGTACACACCTTCCCCTGGCTACGCCGCTGCTGGAACAGACCTAGAGCCATTAGCAAATAAATTAATTCTACAAGTGTTGTCGATAGAAGGAATAAGTTTTTCCATTTCTCATAGAAGCACTTTGCAATTGGCGTATAGAATGCGTATAGTATAGAATGTGTGCGGCAGTTCTCATAGGTCGAGTTCAGGCGCCGGGCCTGCTCTTGACACGGGTTTCTTGTTATCGCGCTCGAACGGCGGGAACACGACTCAAGAGCACTGTTTTAATTCTCGGAACAGAATCACACGCCACCCCCTCGTCAGGGTTTTACAGGAACACACGGAAAAACTCGTGAGATTTTGATTTTTGAACAGCTGCAGTAGAGAGATGGCCGCTTGCCAGAGACAACAGAAAGTTTTGCAAAATTAACATCGAGTATTTTCCATACCACAGAAAAGAATGTTCCTGTTTAAATAGAAAAGAATTCAACCCAGTTATCCAAACATTAACTCTCGAATAATGTACATCAACGCCGTCATTATGCATGTTGCTTGTCACTAACTACCAGCGACAACCGGTGGTCACGTTCCCGGCGTTCGAGCGGCCCACCCATGAACAATAAACAAAGCTGTTTTTGAATGTACGAGAGCAAGCCGCCCGAACTCAGCTGTAAAATGTCATAAAATAATTTGAAATTCCTAAGTACAATCCTAGAGGGCGCTATTACTCTTTTCATATTATGTTCTCTCGAAGCTACCCCATCAGCAACACATAATCCAGTGGGCGCCGGCACTGTGGCCCGCCTCACTCAGAGCAGTTGGATCTTGAATATACATGTACTTTTTCTTTGTGAGGTCTCACATTTAATACAGGTGTTTCACAATAGTACGCCTCCAAGTGTTTGAGACGCGTTGGCCGATCACAAAGTGCGAAATCTGTCGACCCAATGCGCGTTTGGAAAGGGTCGATGGATTTGGTGCGTTGTGATTGGCCACTGTGTTGCAAACTCTTGGAGGCGCACTATTGTGAATTGCCCGTATTGCACAATTACAAGTTGGAAATAGCGTACAATATCCATACGCTTTCTGTCAGATGAAAAGAAATAATTATGTTTGTTTCATCTAAATTTATAATTCCCATTAATATACCCATTTGAGAAATAAATGGCACACTTCGATAGTTACTATTCTTTTTCTTTATAGGTTGACAGAAAATATGTTTACCCAGTGAATTAAAAATAATGTAGATGTAGGTCAATAATTCGTAAAAATGGTATCCAAAGTAGCCGATCACGAAATAACTGAATTTGCTCCCTAAGGCTTACACTCTTCATATTACATTTCATTTCATCAGTTAACGTCGTTTCAGAGATTAATCAAAGATTAAACCTTCATCTTAATGGTGCATCGTCGTTCAAAAATATGATCGAGGTTTATTTGCATGCAATTCATTTTTACGTTTTCATTTCTGTGCATTCTCTACATGGTTAAATCTAAAACGAAATAAAGATCAGATGCAATTGTTGACTTTATGGTGTCTTTTATAAGAGGGTCCACAAACCGACTCTCCTTTAGGAGTTACGAATAATTAATTGGACCAAAACGAATGGGCTGCGCCGTGAGTTGCTAGGCCTTCTGGATTGAGTGAAAGGCCTTGTTGTACAATGTCAAGTTAAGTTTTAAAAAATATAAAAGATAAGGTAGTTTTCATCTGCATGTAAAGCTCTCATCTCGATCTGCTCTTTCTCATTTCCGTAAGATGGGTACCACGTGGAGCAATGCACAGTTGCCTTTGTACAGCTTGCAGAAACCATGTCCATGAAAGTTGAAACCCGCTTGGAAACAATCCTTTCTGGAAATAATATTTTTGAAGGATCCTTCATATTTCTCTATAAAACACTCCCAGTAATTTTTCAATTCAACTCCAGTCAGGGCAAGACCCAGCGGGCTTGGGGGAACACCCCCCCCCTTCATAAAATAAATAAATAGATAAAAAGAAATAAAAAGAGAGAGGAGGAAGAAAAAAGAGGGGGGCGGACCCAACCCCATAAAATGTGGCAAAGGCGTAATAAAAAAACAAGAGTTCTGCTTCGGTTACCCAACCTCCCTAGTTTTACGGCTGCAACAGTAAAATTATTGTTTCACGGCCCCCCCCCGCCTCCCCCCCCCTTGAAAACCTTGGATCCGCAGCTGCCTGTTTCATTTCCCGCATTGGAACCTCAAACGGGAGTACCCGGTACCCTGTAGATCCCGTGTGCGTAGTACATACAAAACTATTCAATCAACAGAGGGCGCAAAATAAATGAAGATTGCCTTATTGTTCTGCCAGTTGCACTACATACACGAATGAGGTTTTTACGGGAAGTGACATTGGCTTCTATAGCCACACGTGTTATTTTGCAGCCGCAGCCACTCTTTTGGGGATCGAGCTTCGACCAACGTGCGTGTTACCACTAGGTCTTGCGTCTAGGCAAATGCTCCGTGATCTAGGCGTGCACAGCAGTTCAGCTTCTTCATTCCTGCTTTCTGCAATCGTAGTCAGGCCAGAAGTCGACTGTAATGCACGACCGATTTCATGTACGCCTTATGGATGTTATTACTGGCTAGGCTAGGAAGAAGTCTCATTGTGCTGAAGCCTGAACTGCGGATTTCTTGAGTGCTGCAACCTGCAGTACAAAGTTGAAAGTCATGAATATGTAAATTACATGAAGCCGAAGGCCCAAGTGACACACTAAACCTACATGTAATCAAGTTAGGCCTAATGTTTTACTTGTAAGCGCTGGTAAGTTTGGGAAGAGTTCCATATACAGAGAACACTTGACATGCTTGATGTCCTGTGCACGCTATGACATAGACCTAGTATAAACAGGGCCTGACGAATATTCCTCCGTCGTATACTGGGCCCTGTCCCAATTCACAGGGATTTCTTTTGAAGAATTTATCCGGGATATCCGGGGGCATAACTAAACATCCGCTTGATTTTATGAGTTGAAATTGCACCAGTATGTTCACTACTTACGGTGTAAACCAACTGCTAGGTTGTTAATTGTAGAAAACTCACCTTCTCCTCGTTTGGAGAAAAAGATGTTGCCTTTTTTTGCGGTTTTCCTACATTGCTCTCCCTCAAAGCGCTCAGGAGTTTCAACATCACATGTAACTCAGATTTTTCTTCCTTTTTTGAAGCTCCATCATGCCAACAGTGATTCTCTTAGATGTCTCGCTTTCGATGACGCGACCTGTAGCGGCAGCCGAGGGCGGCGGTGAGGCGATCACCCGGCGGCAGCTGGCCGAGGCAGGGCTCAGTGCCCTGTTCGACTTTGTGGCGGCCAATGACAAGCTGGAGTTCACGGCACTGGTCATCTTTTCCTCCCTGTGGGAGGTAGTGGTGCCGTTCACCCGAGACTACAATGAACTCAAAGTATGTTAAGTGTGCACATAGGCCTTTTGCTCTGTTGTCAATGAACCCATTTTCAGGGGAAAACCTCAAAGGTTGCAAATCTTGGGGCTGCTAAATGGTAACACAGGTACTTCCTTCACCATCTACCAGGAAATTTAAGAGAAAATTTTGCAGTTGGTGTTGCTTTACATGAAGCCTGATGCCGTTCGAAGAGTACAGAAGATGTGCTTTGAGTGTCCAGCAGAGTGGATGATTTGGAAGACCTCATTAGGGCTCGTAGCTAGAATGCCTCAGGATCAATGTAAACAAAAACTTTGCGTGTGTGTTGCAGGCTTCAAAGAAAAGTCAGGAAGATTTGTAGCTTGTGGTTTGTCTGTGGTGTGTCTTTGAAAAAAAAAATGGTTTCAGCTGAATACTGTACTCTTTGCTGCTGTTTCGATGTCCAATTTGTGCACGAAATGAAGATAACTTGATTTTACATACGTGTATGTAGTAGTGACGTCTCTCTGGTGGGAAAACAAAGGACCCACACACAGGCTTCCACACAATGGCATGGAATGCACCAAGTATGCATAACCAATTTCTGTTGGAAATATACGGCCATCCCATATGTGCTCACGCTATGGGCCAAGTTGAAATCTTTCCAACCAGCCTGTTTGCGGTACCCGCTGCTACACCTGACTCGGACTGGCCAGCTGACTTTGGCAAGCTGTTTTACTCTTTTGTGACCTACTCTGCCAAGTCTCTTGTACGAATATGGAAATAAATGTGAATTGAATTGAATTGAAGCTTACTATGGACAATTTTGCGATGACACCATGTGGATATATTTCTCTTTTGTGACTGTGTGTGGTTCTGAGAAGAACCGGGGTTCACTCGACGTTTCAGACAAGTATTGAAGCTTGGTGGTCAAGTGGTTAAGACGTCTGCACTAGTAAGCAGGAGGTCGTGGGTTCGAGGCCCACCCGAGTAAGCTTGTGAATTTTGTTTCGCAAGCTCTCGGACTGAGTATACAGTGTTTATATATACATGTATATGCGTCAAGTAAGGGCAAAAGCCATAACTAAATTCAGCCTATCTCTTGTTTTACCAGTGATAGGGTACTCTTACTTGGCCCAGAGGAGATTGATACATTTATGTACATATATCTGGATTGTTCAGCCCTTTATGTTTGCCATACTGTAGATGTTTTGTGAACTTCAGTGTCATTTTTATCAGGCTTTAGGGTAATTTTGACATCCACAATTAGAGACCATTACTGCAGTGGCGCAACACTCGTAGACAGGTGATCCGCGTGCATTTCATGCCTCTTCGACCAATAGGATGTCATGATTTTGCCAAATACACGCCCACGTCAAGCATCTAATCTGATTAGTCTATAACAGTGCCTGCAGTAATTTTTGGAAGAAAGCTTCTCTGTTCATTCCCAAATGGCTTGTTTTTTTCTTGTTGTTTTCGTGTTCTCAGAAAGCATTGTATTCTGTGGAGATATTTGACAAAACCAACCTGGAAGGGACACTGGATGGCGTCAGAAGTGTTGTGGGGGAGGAATGGGGGGTGACCACAACCTGTCAGGTAAACACAGCAACTTACCCAGGGACTTCCCTCCCCCTTCCCCCTAGTGCGTAAACTTTTCTGATCTTCTTAAATTACATTTCCTTTGCCTGGTTCAAGTCAGCAATGGAGAGATTACTGTGGAAGGTGGTACACGTACATGAAGGTGCATTTCTTTTTTTTTTTATTCTGGAATGGCACAAAAGTTGCCTTTTCACTCCACTTGATGAATGATGTGAGAGGAAAAGAAGGGCAAAAAATAGAAAGCGAAAATTGAAAAGGCTTTTGGTGAGCCTTTGGCCCACAAACCCCTTAGCTCACCCTCAGCCAGAGAGCTTGTGTGGTAGAGTCACGGTTCAGTTTGCTTTGCTTAACCTAAACTCGGTATTAAAACTTTAGAACATGGATCTCCTCTTTCAATGCATTTGCTCAATAGTTTAAGTCATTGGTACTTTTATGAACACTGGGCTATTTTTGTGTAACACCTCAAAAATGTTTAATCACGGATGTAGGATTGCGAAGAGTTTTTCAAGCCAGAATTATTTGTGAAAAAGTGAGTGGATGTATCTTCCATTGCAGCTCAGAATTGCTCAAGATAGCATTGTGAAGAAAGGAAAGTACTGTCTATCGCTGATGCAGCCTTATTTTTTTGGGGGGGGCAGGTGATATTGGTTACAGATGGCAGTCCAGGCGTGGGCCCAGGATCCCTGAAGCAAGTCGCCCAGATGCTGTCCAACCCCAAACCGGATGACCCACCCTTCCATTTGCCTTTCGAGTTCCCCAACAGCTTGGAAGTGGTGCTGCTGGCCAGCCCCGCTGAGCTCCAGCAGTGGGACTCCCGGGCCCTGTATCAGAAACTCCTGGACGCTAATCGGCAGAAGGGCAAGATCCACGTGGTGGAGGGTGCCCTGACCCCGAAGTCGGCCCAGCTGATGTTCAGCAGGCTAGCCGAAGAGCACTACTCTGCATTCCGCGCCAGGCTCCAGTGTGGCCACCTGAGCTCGGAGGTGCAGCTTTTCCCCCCGCCGCGGACGGTCAGCATGGCACGCGACTTCGAGATGGTGACCCAGACAGTGTCGTCGGAGCTCAACATCTGCGGTTTCTTAGACTGTGCCGATGTGTCGAGCCCGCCCGTAATGTCCAGGCATCTCGTTCTCCCGCTGGCCACGAAAGGCAAGCAAAAATGGATCTGACCACAAATCACTCCTTCAGCATCCATTTTTTTTTATATTGGCTCTCTGAGGTCATGTTTGAAGGACTTATCTTTAGCTAGATATTACACATGGCTCTATGAGTAGCAGCTGCAGGTGTTGTCACAGACTCGTGTATAATTTCAAGCCAAAGTCAAATAAATTGGACGTGGCCCAATTTGTTGTGGTTGTGTTTACAGATGACTTGTAAACTCTGTACTTGCTGAGTGCTAAGCGTTTTGTGAAATTTGGTGAGGAGTAATGTCATATGCCTACAAGCATATGACAGACAAGCTGGTCTGCCTTGCAATCTGCTCCTCTTCAATCACATGAGTTTGGCTCGACCTAAGTCACCTGACAGATCTTTCCAATGAAGCCTGATCCTGGTGCATTCATTTCTGACCTTAGAAAAGTTCCTTGTGCCATAATGGTATCCAAAGTGTGGAATCTGTGCACATGTATGACCTCAGTGGTAAAAATGACTCAAAGCAGGGCTGAGCTTTGTTAGGATTTTTTTCATTGGGATTTTTCTGATTTCAGGATTTTTCAAACAGTCATTTTTTTAGAAAATCTGGACAATTCCGAGTTAACCATTCACACAATTTTACATATATAGAGTAGACATAGACTTACAGCATTGGAACCAGACAACATGGCCGTTTGGTTGACTGACGGTTACCAATCGGAGTTTGCCCTTGCTTTTTGTGGATGTTACCCATGCTGAAATACATTCCCTGGTCCACGTGCAGGATTCTTCCGAACCACGTGCATGTAGGCTTGTCCGTATCATCACCTGCTCATGAAGGAATTTCATTGGATACTCTGCCACTTGTGTCGGTTAATCCTTGCTCTTCCAGAAAAGAGTCACGCCGGCTCGGGAGAAGGCGGAGCAGAAGGTGCGGACAAGACAGACGACAAGGACAGCGGCCCCACGTCTTCTGAAATAGGCTCCACCCCTTCCTTTTGTGTGCTCCTACATGGCAGCTTGAAAATTGAGAACCTGGTAGCGCTTGTTAATGTTGGGTGTGTAAATAATAAGTTTGAAACCATGCATATGCATTACCTTCTACTATGTAGTGCTAAGCCAATTTGAATAATTCACTATTCGAAAATTCGACCTTCAACTCGATCGAATATCCAAATATTTGGTCGCACCACCAAACCATTTACAAAATCAGTTAAAAAAATGCACTCAATTGTACATCATAATCACTATACATGTAACAGCTTCTCACTTCTAGGACTATCTCCAGCCACAATTAAGCAAGATTGAGGAGAAGAACACTACTTCTTGCCCGCTTGAAAGTTTCTATTCCTTTTAAATTCTTTAATGAATTTACGTTTTGAATTGTAGGTTGCATTATTCTGTTACTTTTCATTTCAATCTGCTTGAGGCAAGCCTCCACTGTGCGATTTTCCTCATTTAAAACATTATTAATTTTGCATTCTGATATTCGAATTCTGAGAATAGTATTTGAATATTCGACAATCGATTAAATAATCAGATAGTCGGATATTTGGCACAGCCCTGCTACTATGAGTCAGGTACTAATACTTTGTTGACAAGAATATAATATCAAAGCAGTGTTGTTAATTTGAATGAGTAACGACACTCCAACAGTTAGTATGTCATTATTACAGTTTCATTTGTTAACCAGTAACGTTGGAAACGTCACGTTTTGTGGTCACTATATGAACAATCTTGATCTGCTTTCCCTGAAGATGCGAATGTTGTAGAGACCATCGCAAGACCTTTTGCAAAATCAAACACAAAGGCCATTCATAAGACCCGTCACGAGGAACAGGGTGAACAGTGACAGAGGAATGCTTTTGTTGCATTTCATTTGAATAGCTTGCGACTGGACTTCAGACATGTCAGATGGGTCTTGTGATGGTCTGAACAGGTCTCAACTACAACACTGGTGTATGACCTGAATGATTAGTGAAATACTTGTTGCAGAATTCACCATATTATCAGCTGAGAAGTGAAAACTCAAAATCAGTAGTATTGGCAGTGCTCGAAAGTCCAGATTACAGAAAATATCCACAAAAATATCAGTCCTGAAGGTTAAGTTTCTTGAGAAGCGCACCTTGCACTCACGGACCCAAACTCCAATAGTTGCTTCTCTTTCATCGGCAGTGAAAATTGGTACGGGCTGCTTCACTCTTGCGCCGACAGCAAGAAGAAATCCAACCTGATGATGTCACTGTTCGAACCAGGTGACAAGGCCATCCCATGGCTTGGCAGGTTCCATCTGCTGGGACCGTGCTCAGGTAATTTACAAAGATGTAATTAATTTGAAGACAAGCCCCCCCCCGTTCTGGTTGAACTGACACCTATCTAGATCTCTCTCTATACGTTCGTTTCATAGATCTTGTCAGATCATTGAGACGTTTACTATTTCTAGTCAGATATGTGAGGAATTCTTTGTTTTGGGTATGGACAAGCTTGAATCCTAGGTTAACCCTAA